CCTCCTAATTTTGATTAACTCACCAAATGTAATATTGAGGGGTGTATGGATGTGGATGCTTGTGCAATCTCTTTGCATTACTGAGACCCAAGATGAAGAAACTGCAGCTTGTCTTTCCAATTGCCAGGCAATTGCTACGGCAGAAATAAGGACGGTTAAGTCCTCTAGATGTTAAATTCCAGTCCCCATCAGACCTTGTCAGCCTGTCCCATGGTGAGATATGATGGCAGTTGTAGTTCAGCACCATCTTTGGAGGGCATAGATTTTTCCCACCCCACTACTTGAATGTCAAGAGCTGTGGTTTGCTTGTACTTCCATCACCAAGCGAAGCAGATGGAATCAGTTCAGCAAGTCCCTGATTGCAGGCCAGTCCCTGCTCACTAGAACTCAGACTGCTTCACCAATTTCCTTGAAAACTGCACTTCCTACCCTCCCAAAGTTGTTTAGCAGTGGAGGTGAGTCTTTTGTTAACATCTTGAATAAAGGATGCACACCGCACACACCCCTCCCCTAAATCTTCGTCTGAGTCTGTGATAATACTTGTGTGTTTCAGGATCTCTGAGAAAAAAAATCTCTTGTGAAGGGGGAAAGCAACAACAAAGTTAAGTCATGGAAAACGTGCACCTGTACCTGTTCCCATAGCTTGGGGTGGGGTGGGGTATGAGGTACAGGTAGGACAGAAGAGCTTCTGGCCAGGGCAGTGGCAGTCTGCAGACCTGGGTGCACTGTTTTGCTTCCTCCCTATTCCCCCCCCCCGAGCCCCCAGGAAAAGGCCTCAAAGTAGATTCGTAAGGTAGTCGCCAGAAAGGTAATAGAGAAAACTTGCTCTTCCTTAACGCTGCCTGGGGTCTTACCTCATCTTTATTTTCTTAGTGCTGTCTTTTTTTCTATCACAAGAAGTGTAAATAGAAGCAAATAAGTCAGTAGTTTATTTCTGTTGAAAAAGATCTGTGGAAAATCCTTTGACTCTTATCTTTACACTTTCCATCCTTTCTCTCTCCCTCCTTTCTTCCTACTGAAATTAGTGGTGCAGCAGTTCCCCTCCTACTGCAGCTGTGAGGACATATACAATATATTGGAAGGCTGAAGAACAGAGTCTCTAAAGCATGGTCCTGAGTGACTTAATCAACATCAAGAAAGGCAAGGGAGGCTTATAAGATAAAAAGGACACTGCTGGCACCAACTCAGCATCTTCTTTAATTTTTCTTTGCCTTTGGCACCTTGTATTCCAATAATCTCTTTTCAATTTAACATTTTTAACAATGCATATGCCAGATTCAACTCAAGGATTCATGGGGGGGGCGGGGGGGCGGGGAACGTGTGAGTTGTTTTGCCTTGTGACTGTCTTCGTGCTCTTTGTGCTCCACCCCATGGACAACTTGGAAACACACCAATATCCTTGATTTGGTCTGGGTCCCCCTTACCCAAGGCACTGCATGTAGCTGACCTAAGCCCCAATTAAAGAGTGCTGCCCTCCATAAGACGCACCTTTCCATAAGACGCACCAATTTTTTAGGAGAAGAAAACAGGAAAATGTAATCTCTTTTTTTCGCTCCATAAGACGCACAGACTTTCCACCCCCCTGTTTTGTGGGGAAAAAGTGCGTCTTATGGTGTGAAAAATACGGTAGATAGTGCCCATGAGAGCGTCCTAGGTGGGCATCAGGCAAGAAGCCCTAGAAAACAATCCATGTCCCGTAATGTTGCAGGGTTAATTTACCACATTTTTGAAATACTGTACGTATGTTGAGATCCCCAACCCTCCACCCTGAGGCCATTCAGCGCAGAATCTAACAATATCACTTAATAAAAAAGGGGCCACAAGTTCCTTACCTTCATATTTATTTGATTGAGACTCTCATCATAGCATTCATTACTTTCCACCACTCTTTTGACCATAACCAGCCTGTCCCAGCGCTTGGAAAAGTTTCTTTCTTTGGACTATAACAGTGAGCCCCATGTTATGCCATTACCTGGAGACAGGGCTACTGCTGAATAGGACTAGTGACAAAAGCCAAGAGAAGGCAGCAGGACTACCACATAAAATACATATATCTATCAAGGCTCTATAACAACAATTCTTAAAATATGCGTTGTCCCCATATTTTGGTTTTACAACCCAAAGCTTTTCCTTAAAAGAACCTCCATATTCGGAGGCAGTGATCACATGGTGCCAGGGATAAACAACAGAGGATAGTTATATCATGGCCTGCTGAGTTTCATAACAGTATCTGGCTAATCCCTAACAGGAAGAGAGTCCTAGATTAGATTAATTCTTGTTCTGAGCCAGCAAAACGATTCTCTGTGGAAGTTTTTTTAAATGCATACAAGTTAACGTATTGTGCTCCAGAACTCACGTTTTAACCATTTCACATAAAAACAAACATCCCTCAGTCCCAAAGCCCATTCCCCCCCCCCGATTCCTAATGTTTTTGCCACATAGAATGGACATATAGAGATTTGGCAGAATACACAAGGAAAAAAGAATTAGTCAAGTCAGCATCCAATTTCTGACGGGAAGGAATACCTACCAGAGCAGAAAAGCACAACACACTCAGTAAAAACTTTGGAGGTCAAACCGTGTATGTTTTTGTGAATGTGTGCACGTGCTCATGTTTGTGTGGATACATATGCATGCAGTACATGCTTTCAGATTAGCTGCTGGAGAGATTAGAGCTGACATCACAGGGGGATCTTCCTGAATTCATCATTAATGGGTTACTTAGATGGGAGAGGGAGGTTCTCACATGGTGTGTTGTCAACACCTGATACCTCCAATACAGAATAAAATAATTCAATGTCAGTCTCTTTCTCACACAAAAACAATGCTCACACTCTGTTGTTACATCATATTCTGCTACATCTCTCATTCTCTCTTCGAGTATCATATTGTATTGAAAATTCTTATAATAAACAGAACCAACATCTATCTGGGCCAAATATTCAAATGTGGAAGAAACCACAGGCTGTCTAAATGGAGCATTTAGTAATCCTTCTTGCATTCACTGAACTTGAAGATACATTAAAAGTGTTCCATGGCAAGGAGACAGCTGGCAGTTTCAAAATCTGCTAGAGTAGCACAGTATTTTGTATCTCCCCCACCCTCACCCAGAATGAAGTTTGGTGACTTTAATAGCCACCTGGAAACAAGAATGTCAAACAATGTCATTTTTCTCAGCATGGAGTGGTTTTGATATGGAGGCCTGTACTTGTTTAATTTTGTGTGGTAGTACTGGTCCATGCATTGGTCGTGTATGACAACTACCTTAGGTTGAGGGACAATGGTGGCAGGTAGCTACTGACTGCTCCTCTTGGTGCTGCATTTTAGATTTCAGTCCAGGGTTTCACAAGAAGTGTTTTGCACAGAATATTTGTTAATCTGAGGTTGAACAGAATGTTTAGTAATCTGTTCAGGATGAATAAATAGCACACAGACCACACTTCCAATATGGGGCCTGTAGCGGAATCCAAAAAGGTGACGTCATTCCTGCTTCTCCATCACAGCAGCTAAAGGGGAGGAGTCAAGGATAGAACAGGAGGGGTGGAGCTAGAGTGACAGTTAGGAAGTTGGAAGATTAGAGACAGTGGGAGTTAGGGAGAGGTAGAAAGAGTCAGGGACCAGAAGATGTATATAGAATGTTAGGGTTTAGGAATAGATCAAAGGGGTTTAGGAGAGGAAATTGAAAGTATAACACATGGAACCAGCAGGAATGAACGTATAAGCATAACAAGAGAGATATAAAATTGATAGTATAGTGATTGACTGCATGATCCTAAAAGTATTAACACCTGGACCAACTCATATATGATTTTCCTGTTGAATAATAATAAAAGAATACTTAATCATAAACCCTGCTTCTTAAAGTATATGACCTTTTTGGGGTGGCAACTCCTGTGTGGGACTTGAAGTGGTATTAGAGAATACCTGGTGGCAGCGAAAAGGGCGTGTGTTCCTTTGTGAGGCCCAAAGAAATAGGGTCAACAAAGGGTATAGGGGCAACAAAGGGTTGATCGCCACAGGTCTTTGTCATGCCATGTTTGAGCAGTGTGGAGAAGAAGCACTTGCAGTGGTCTATGCAAGTGTTGTTAAGGTAATGGCCAAATGTATTTGGAACATTGCGTTTTTCAGAAAGAAAGGGGGGGAATCCCATCCTGGATTTGGACCTGACACAGTGCGCTTTCTTCATTATTCTACCCCCCTCCCACTGTACCAGTTTTGCCATCTTATGGCATGACTGCAGACTTACCAAAAGCAAACAGAACTTTTCCGTCAAAAAATACATTTGGAATATGTGGGTGGTAAGTTATAGGTGGTCTTTATATAGCTGAGAGTTTACATTCAAAATATATGCTCTGGATCAGGAAAAACCCCATGGGTTTATAGATATATATATAAAATATATGTAGCAGATGTAAAACAGGGAGGATTGATGAAAGGAAATACTGAAGAAGAATACAAGGAGCTTGTTTGTAGACTTAAAGTTCCAATTGGGATCACTTAAAAGCAACAGGTGACATCAGTCGGTCAGAATCCATGTTGCAAAATGCATGCAGTTAGCAGGTGAAACTGGAAACGTGAGAAACAGAATCCATGTATTTGTTATAAAAACATCATTTCCCCCCTTGACAGGTGCTAAATGAATAATTTTCCATTTGCACCATCTTTTTGAACCACGGGCACAACTAGAGGCCTAGTTAAGCAACTCTGGAGAACTTCAGACTTTTACACAGTTTTTCTCCAAAAGCTGTATGTTACCTACTGGTAAAGAGGCCTGTTGGCACAATGGCCCTCTTTGAAAGAACTTGTGCATAGAGTCACTTCTACAACAAATTTCTTATCATATTCCTTAAATTCAGTACTTCTGCACAAGAAATATTTCCCCTCTTCCTCCATGATGTCCTGCAGTTCTTGGCTCTCTCATTTGCCCCCATTTCATGATGCCATGTTATTTTTTTCCTATATGATATACAGTATATTCTACTCAAGATGCTTGGTGGAAATTCTAATTTATTATTTATTCCATATTGGGCTTGATTGCAGAAATCTTCTCCTCTGCCCTCTGTCCTCCTAGTGCCATACCTCTGTTTCTCATCTCTGTTCAGACCATGATCAACAAGACAATTCATTCTCCTTTTATTCACATGGTTCTTCTCCTTCAGACTCCCCCCCAGCTTTCCTTCTGCTCCCAGACCCAGAATAATTTATTGGTCCTTACACTCAAAGTTCTCTGCAGCCCTTCCCCTTCTTGTGCCCATTGCCCAAGATCTTCATGTTTCCAGCTCCATCACCTTCAGACATCTAAAGCTACTCTAGAAGCTTTTTATTCATTACTTTTCTTAATGCACAGAACTCAGAATACTTACACGAAGCAACCTGTTTCTTCAGATGTCTCCTTGAAATCCAGCTTTTTCATGAGCCTTTGGCTCCATCCACAAATCCTCCTTCCTTTATAAAGCACAATTAATCAAATGAGCGTATACTAGTACCATATTCACTCCATTTCTCTACCTCCCACAATGCATGTTTTCACTTCTCTGTCTTGATTTTAAACTAAAGACTACTTGGGTGATATCCACTCTTTTTTTATTAGTACTTAGCAAACTATCAGATACTTTTGATGCTGTCCTATATAAATTACTATGAGTTGTAAGATGCAATAACATGTAACAAAACGTAGGATGTAAAATTAATTTATAACTTTGAGGTTTTTAAATACAAATGACAAAGTTAATGCTTGCTTATTGTGGAATACAGAAAAACAATTTAAATAAATATATTTCTTAAAGTGGAGGTAGGGTGAGAAGACAATCAGTTTTCACTGAAACAGATTTCTGATGAAATCACACAAGTCTATTTAAAATATTATTAAATGAAAGAAATCTGCTCTTAATTGCTTGGAGATCTTAATAGTGCAAACAAAGCAGAACACCAGCTGTTTTAGACACGAAGGATTATGTGACCCTCATTATTGCACCTTAGTAATTTCTCTTCCACTTTATGTAAGAGAACACCACAGAAAAGGATTATCATAAAAAAAGAACTTCAAAACATTCTTTGTCACTGGCATTATAGTTTGTCTGGGATGTATTTAATGTTGCACTGTTGTTCTCTTGGCCATGAACGGATTCCTTCCTCTATAGTCTAAGTCTTCTTTGCTTTTCCCAGACAATAGTTCATGAAAAAAAATTAAATGTGTGCTGTTTTGTGAAACAGTTGTAGTTTGGCTTTTTCTGGCTCTGTTCTCCAATCTAAATTCTTCAAAGTCAAGAATGTCTTTCCAAGGAGCCTTGCAAATGTTATGGAAATATATGGTTTCTTTTAAGTCTACTGTATGTCTCTATAGGACAAAAAATGTGACATGGAAGTGGGATAAAGTGTGCAGACATGGAGGTGGGATAAAGTGGCAAGCACGGGTACAAGAACACAGGGGTTCTAAGCACCCAAGCCTTTCCCATGTGTCACCATATGACAAGGATTGTAATTTAAACTGTATTTTCAGGGGAGCAAACTCAGGACGTGGCTATTGTTATAGAGAAAATCCATGACCCAAGTAGTCACTATCATGGGTTTCCTACGCCTCACCAAATTACAAATAGATGCACCTTTTCCTCCTGAAAAGGCAAGGTGATTGTGACATGATATCATGTATAATGCTGTATGTAGATCCTCTGTGAATAACAACAGCTATTTACAACTGTACAAGACAGAATGACAGTTACAGAATAAACACCCTCCCCATTAAAATCTGCACAGAAGCCAAGAAACCAGTGCAAGATAAAAACAATTGGTGTATCAGGTGGAAGAAAGCAGCAACCAAGGGGTTATATTCAGTTTTGTTGTTATGCTAGGCCAAAGATTCTACTTCTGTGCCACTCCCATTTTTATCTATGTGCTGGTATCACATATAATATAGATTCCACTCACACAAACATGAGCACAAGCACATTCACAACTTAGTATTACTTCATTATGCTGCTTGTGCTAGTTGTTCCATTAGTGATTGCACAACAAGTAGTAAAATACTGTACCACTAATGGAACAATAGTATCTCTTGTGTTACTTTTTTGGGGAGGGGCATTATATTGGAAACAGCTATGAGTAGAGATGGGGATGACTCACCATTTTGGTGAGCTGTCCTGCTTTGTGAGTCATCAAAACTTGACGATTCATGAAGCATGGAGTTTCCCCCATGAAGCGATGAATATTGAAGT